AAACTACAAAGGCTTGCTAGGCTCTACTAAGGCCTGCCAGCCGTTGCTAATGCTTGGCAGGCCTTGCTTTCCGACGATCAGCTTCTGCTAGCAAACTCCATTTGCCATACCCCCCTTAGAAGGGTCCCTCTAAATCATAATTCAGTTTAGGGTGCAAGATAGAACCGACAGAGCTCCCAAGAACAGGCCTATCTCGAGCAAAATGATGGTAGAAGACCTTTCCGCGACTTTATTTTCTGTATCCTCCCCTGGGCTTTGGGCCAAAGACAAGAAATACATCCTAACCCCGAAACCCTAAACCCTAAACCCTAAAAGACCCAAACCCTAAACCCTGACTGATTAAGTAGGCTTCTACTTTTCAGTTGACTCCCCATGGGTTCGGCTGCAAAACGCTGTGTATAGCTTTAATATAACGAGCTTCTGGGACTTTCCGAAAATAAGGGGTACCTAGTTTCAATTTTGGGGTCCTTATAACAAGGATTCTACTATTTGGGGTACTATATAAGGGTCCCCTACTTTCGGAAATCCCCTTTTATTGCCTAAAACAAGGCTTTGGGGTATGTTGCACTTATAATCATGATCCCTCATGAATAGTAGTGGCTACTATATTCCCTAAACCCTGAACCCTAAACCCTAAATCAGGCTCCTTGGGGCCAAGGGCTGAAGGTAAACCCAGGAATCGATATCTCCCAGAAGGGCTTTCAAACACTAGACTCCCTACCGGAGTCCTAAACCCTAAACCCCTAAGCTACAAACCCTAAAGCGCTAAACCTCTTATCCTAAACCCCCCCAAACCCGAAACCCCCTAAAACCCGAAAGCCCCAAACCACTAAACCCAGCCAAGTCTCCCGGAAAGTCTGCTCTGGGTTGGCATCCTTTTTCTTGTTCGCTCCCGTCTTTGCCTGCCAGCATGCTTACTGTAGGGGCAGTAATAATCATTTTGGTGTATATTATAGTCTAATTATAGTTTAGGGTTTAGGGGTTTAGGGTTTAGGGTTTAGGGGTTTACGGGTTTAGGGTTTAATGTAGGGCCTTAATAATTAGAATAGGGTTTTGGGGTATATTATAGTAAAGTATAAAAAGGAACGCCCAAAATAATATAGGTAATTATTGAGGCCCCTGTATTAAGAAGTTCACTTAGTGTGTTGAGGTTACGGGGTGTAGGGGTGTAGGTATGCAGGGTTTAGGGTTTCGGGGTTTAAGGATTCAGGGGCTTAAGGCTTAAGGGGTGTAGGGGTGTAGTGTTTAATTCAACTTTGGGGTGCATTGCAGTTTAGGTCAAGGGTTCAACTAAGGTCGTATCAATGTACGAGGGTTTGGGCTGATACGGTTGATGATATAAACCCTGCATTATCCATAATAAGGAATATGCCATAATTCTTCTAGTCTAGGGCCATTGAGGTAATGCAGGATTTATATCATCAACAATAGCTTATTCTTAGGGTTCAGGGTTTAGGGATTAGTTGAAGCATTCCCGTTAACTGAAGAACCTGGCTTTACTCAGCTTTACTCATAAAATAGAGTCGACCCGAAACCCCCCGATCCCGAATAGAACTAGGGTTCCTTTAAAGGGATGGGCTCCTTTAAAAGGGTTCTATAGGAGATCTACTATAAGAGGGTTCTGTGATATAGGGGCCTTACTAATTAGAATAGGGTTTTGAGGCCCGTTATACTATAACCATGACAAGGAGCCCTCAAAATAGTGTTGGTAGCTATTTCGGCCCCTACAGTAACAGGCGTCGAAGGTAACACGCAGGGGAAGGCTTCGATCGTGCTTGTCTGTAGGTCCTGTCGGTCCCTGAACTAATCCTCCAGCCCAAAATCTAAACCTCCCTAGTGTAACCCTACAAGCCCACTCGAAAAACCGAAACACTCTTGAATCCCAGAAGACGACAGGAAAACACCAAAACAACACTAGAATCCGCGATGAAGTCACTAGAACACTCCTTATAAACCCACTGGAAAACCGATCACGCGGCCAGAAAGCTCAAAGACCAGCCAGACAACCCTGCAAATCCATTAGAAACCCAACGACTAGCCAGACAAAACCCCAAAACCTAAGAGCGACATGAATGCGAAAAGGGTGTGAGGTTCAAAGACCATCTAGGCATTCATGGAAGAAGGGCGTGGCGCCCCTGCTTGTAGGGGTCATTCGGTGCTTCCAGTACTTGGAGGATCATGGGACTTAGTAACTAAGGTTATAAGTACCTTAATTGGGGGCTATAAGTAATTCTAAGTATAGTTAGCTTCTTTATATATAACCCTAATTGCCAAGTCCCATGATCCTTCAGGCAAGGAAGTGAACCCTAAACCCTAAACCCTAAACCCTAAACTCTAAATCGGAAGAAGTCCCTCTCCCGCGCCTGGACCTTCTTCGCCAAGCGCGAGGACGGCGAGAAGCCCGGACTCTCAGACTCCACCTTCAAGTTTAGGGTTTAGGGTTTAGGGTTTAGGGTTTAGGGTTTAGGGTTTAGGGTTTAGGGCCCTTAACCAGGACCCCCCCCCCCCCCAAGGGCCCTTGGGTTTAGGGTTTAGGGAGGATCATGGGACCTAGTAAGCAAGGTTATAAGTACCTTAATTGGGGTTATAAGTAACTATAAGTATAGTTACCGTATTTATAACCCTCATTGCTAAGTTCAATGATCCTTTTAGTAACCAGGACACGCCAAGGGCCCTTTAATAGAGCCCTTATGGTCCTTCATAGTGGGTACTTAGGAACTAGTAGAGGGCCGTTGAGGGGTCTAGGAAAGGTGTTCGGATCCTTTGCGGGTGCTACATTGGGTTGACGGTAAGAGTTTTCTTGCAAAGGTTTCCTTAAAGCGTACCATTGCATTGGTTAACGGTTTAAAGGTTTAGGGCTCCTGTAAGCATTCTTTCAAAGGTACTGCAATGGATTAAGGGCTCACGGGTTTGTGGTTCGTTTCGGGTACTACGACAAGGGTTTTAGATGTTTTTAGGGTCTAGGTTTCCTGTAAAGGTACCTCAACGGGGACGACAGTAGGTTTAGGGTGCCTTCAGTTCAGGGTTTAGAGTTTAGGGTACTTTTGTTTGTTGAGTGGTCCGTTAATGTAGGGGCCTTAATAAGTAGAGTGGGGTTTAAGTTTAAGTTTCAGGTTTAGCGCTCAGGGGTTTAAGGGTTTACGGGTGGTAGGGCCTCAATAATTGGAGTAGCAGTTGGGGTCTGTTGCAGCATATTTATATAAAGGAACCCTCAGGAATATTGTGGGTACTGCTTTGGTCTTCTATATTACCAGTTGTCTGCAGATCGGTGGTATTTCTCGTGCCCGAGGGCTGCCTTAGGGTCAATCGGGACATCTATGCATTCCAGGCCAGATTTGCCGACTTTGCAATAGCTCTCGTAGATGAGCCCTAAACCCTAAACCCTAAACCCTAAACCCTAAACCCTAAAGCCTAAACCGTGTACCAGGCCGACGGTCAGTCCAGCTGGCACCTCCAAAGTACGCAGTGCATCTGGTCCAGTGCCGCGTCTCTGCAGCACTTGCCCAAAGCGAGCATGCGGTGACACGGGAGATCTAGCCCGTGGCCCCTCCAACACTTGCCAACGCTCTCAGCAAACTCTGAGCCATCAGCTACAGAAATCCGAACTGGGTAAACCCGTTAGAGCTCCGAATACCTGAAACCCTGCGAACCGCGTTTCGCAAACTCCACAGTCCGCGGGCCTCGACCTGCACCAGCTCACTATCGCCGCCAGCATCCCGGCTGTTGGCCGTCGGCGCCTCTGAGGTCTACTGAAAACGCTAGGAAATGGTAGCCGAGCTGTTGTAGTAGTCGTCGTCGTCGTCGTCGTCGTAGTCGTAGTCGTCGTCGTAGCAGTAGTAGCAGTAGTAGCAGTAGTAGTAGTAGTAGTAGTAGTAGTAGTAGTAGTAGTAGTAGTAGTGGTAGTAGTAGCAGGAGCAGGAGCAGGAGCAGGAGTAGCAGTAGTAGTAGTAGT